TTGCAGACATCTTTGTACCTTCTGTCTTCAATTCTTGGACTCTTTCGTCAATCCTCAGACGAGGTATAGACATTTTATGCATAAAAAGATGCGAAGGCGTACACAGAGACAAGACTAGGTCATATCTCGATTAAGGAACCATTTCGGGTTCAGCTGTGGTATCGGGTGCTGTGAAGTGCGGTTCCAGGTGGATGGGTTCAGGAAGCGCAATTTTCTCTCCAGGTAGGGCGTTCGCTGTCTCCACAAGCTCCGCTTAAATGTTTTCATTAAAACGGATAGTAGAAGGTAAAATGGATTATTGTATAGTTGCCTGAGCCGCGACCAGATAATTATGAATAATTCGTTAAAAAGGGTTTATGAGAGAGAACTTAATAATTCATCTTGAAGTTAACACTTTCTTATCAAACTCAAGGAAAAGATTCCAGGAGGTGGGCTTCACCTCTGGAGCTACGAATGTGAACCCTCACCAAGCGTTATTGGCTTTGAAGGATGCAGATTGGAAAAGATGGCGGAAAACTTTCCAAGGTTTAGGATCGTACACATGGTTTGAGCGGCACAACACAATTCATCCTGAAGAAGAACAGATGAGTTAATTGTGACGAAATGTGACAACTTAACGTTGCATAGATAAATGTAAAAATTGTTTCGACCAACCTGCTGGATGAGACTTAGGGAAACATGAACACGCCGACTTTGTGGTTCGCAGGGGTCAATAATTCCAGCGCTACCTGGAAGAAACAGTCCCGCAGCCAGAAGTTGAATGACTCGTCTAAAAGTAGAATCTAATGAATTGCAACTTCAAGCAATTTGACACCAATTAAAAGCATCTCAGTACGTGCAGTATACTTACATCAATGACAAATAAGAACCAAAAATTACCAGGTTACAACTATGTTAATCATAAATTAGCAAATGCATTCGGAGACTTCTTTACCGGAAAGCAACAGAAAGTGGAAGTGGAGCGTCCGTAGGGGTATGCATGACCGCATGGAAGGCCTAAGGTAAAAGGGATCGGATAAGCATTACCAATCGTGAAGCATTGTGATAAAGCATTTGGGCGTTCACTGGCTGAAAAGTAGCTGAAATGCTTGTTATCAATCACCCTAACTCAGCACTTACAAGAAGATCGACTTGCCAGGGAGTAAGGTGATTGAAGCCAACATATCTTCGCCTTAAGTCCTTCAATAGTCGTATGAGTGCTTTGACACTGGTGAAAAAAAATTGGCAGAACAAAGTCCGCGAAGTTCCGCATTATACTAAAGCATTCTCAAAAACTAAAGGAGTTAAAAGCCTCATTTGGCATCACAAAGGACATAAAAGATGAAAAGAAAACTAGGGTTTGGTTGGACATAAAGGTAAAATAGCAGATTCTTTCGCTACTATTAAGCGTCCAGCCAATGGAGTAAACATTAATAATGCATGAAGAAATAAAGCACAAGCTTACTTTGCGTGCGCAGCCCTCTCCTCCGCCCAACGTGCATGAACGATGGCGGCATGAGCGACACTCTGGTCAGGTGGACTTACTATCACCAAAAAGAAAGAAATTACGGTTCACCTTACACCAAGTAAATCACAATGAGTGTAAAACATGAAGATACCTTTGAAACCATAAAAAACATTAATTCCACTTCAGACTCAAAATCTATCGAAGGCAAATCCTATCACAAAGCACGAGCACATAACGAGAATCCAAGGCAGCGTCAAACTTGTCGTCGATATGAAAGCTTTATGATTTCATGGCGCATTAACTGGCCAACACAACTTATGACTCTAAGAAAGAAGTTTGTTCCAAAAGGAAGGTTTTAAGCAGTCTTGAGCCTATAAGTTCAATTAATTATCCTCAAAGCAATGGGCGTGAGAGGATGCTAAGATAGTTTATGCTCTGGCAAACGAAATATGAATAGAAAGGACTTTCAGTAACCGAAATGAAACAGCTTTTGGAAAGGGGACAAAAAAATAAATTGGCTACCTTACAAAAAAATCCAGCAATTATCCGAAATTAGGAT